CCACGGATCCCCACTTCTGCCACGCACCCAGGGACAATGAAGGACCGTTCGGCCCCCTCTCTCTGATTATGCGCGTGCGGCCTCATTCCAAGTGGATTCGGATGATTTCGCTCCGGCGAGCTGCCTCTGCGCGGGCACGTTGACGTTGGCGGCGGCGCAACCCCTTGCACCTAGAGTTAGGTCGGGCATCTCCCCCTACAGGCGGATTTTGGAAGAAACATTAAAGATAGCCAAACATGTCCAAACATAATGGGAAAATTGTCGAAAAGTCGTCCCCATGTTTTTTTTACTATTCTTGAATGTTCCTCCTGTAGAGAGACATGCCCGACTTAAACCTAGAGTTGAGGAGTCTGGAGAACGTCTAGATCCGTGTATCTGCCTCCGTCTTGCACAACCACTCCTGGGGCAGGCCTCGTTGAACGCGAGAACTCGCGGGCCGTTGTAAGTCGAGCGCGCAATGCGCCGCGCCCCGCTCGCAGCACGAGTGCAGCCTGATTAGAGCAACGGCCGCGAAGACTGCCCCTGCGACATGGGCGCTTCCACCTTGCAGTCGCCGCGCGCACGGCACCGCGCGCAAGCACGAGGCTTGGCTGCGACACGCAGCGGGCGCACGATTGGACGCGCACTGCTTCCGGGCGACACAGCGGTCACCGCCCTGCCCGTCCACCCATGCGCACCTGGCGCATCGCTGGCGCGCGCCCTGGGGTCGCAGGGTCGAGGCTTCGAGGGGTCGAAGGGTCGAGGGGCGAAGGGGCGAAGGGGTCGAGGGGGCCGCAGGGTCGAGGGGCCGAGGGGTCGGGGGGCGTCGAAGGGTCGAGGCGTCCACGGCTCGAGGGCGCGCCCCTCCTCCTGCAGCGGGTGCTGGCGGGCGTCCGCGGCCTTCGGCGCAGAACCTCACTCTATCCGCGCAATCTGTCGGGGTGCCCGCACGCCCCGTCATAAGTTTTGCACCGCTGGCGCTGCAATCACCCGACGCGTTTCGGCAACACCTCGGCGCGACGTCGCATCGGCACGATCGGTTCTCTCTTGCCGCGCGGTGCCGGCAAAAGTCGAGCATCTTTTCCCGTGCCGTTGGCTTAATCGTTGCGCGAACGAGGCCTGATTCAAGTCAGGTCATCCACCTCGCCAGAGGTGTTCCTACCTTCCTTCTCTATTCTCAGACTTATTTTAAGACACGGCATGCTTTCTTTCTGCCAAGCAGCGGGCGCTGACCATTCACACAAAGGCATGCGTCCAGAAGCAACGTCTCCGCCAGCTTTCTCAAGCGCGCAGTGCGGCGACCCGCTGCTGACTACGCACTGGAACGCCAGTCGAATCCGCCTGCCACAGTAAAAGCAATGTCACACGGAGACGCGAAGCCAGCCTACCCATACAATCAGGACGGCGCATCATCGCCATGAGGCCCGCAACGCTACCAGGGTGTTCACCGCGCTGCCGCGTCGCGCATGCTCCGGATGAGGGGTAGATGAACGTGTCGATGTTTGCGGTATCTCTTCAAAAAGTCACTGCGCTGCGCCATTCTCTTGATGGCGCACAGAATTGTTCATTCATCTCGACTTGAGCAGTAGCACAGTTGACAAGTATTGTTCCATGGGATCTTACGAGTTACGTTGCACATCGGATGACCGCGCGCCGCCTTCTTGACTGAGGACAATGGAAGCGTCCTGACGTTACAAAAGTGCATCAGGTTTGGCTGGCATATGTCCCAAATGAGCCCACATGGCTTAGCTACGACAGCTGACGGCGCAGTTCCCTTGCAGCGAGTGGACCGCGCTGTTAGATTCAGTATGCTGCGGGGCTGTCGGCCTGGCAAGTCGAGTCATAGGCGACTTCGATACGCGGGCGCGCTTACAAATAGCAGGAAGGATAAGGGAGGAGGAGGAGGAGGAGAAAGAATAATAAGAAAAAGAGGAAGGCTGGGGAGAAAGATGATGAGGGGATGAGGAACAGGAGGAGAAGGATAAAGGAGGAGCAGGAGGAGGAGGGAAAAGGAGGACTAGGATGAGATAGGGGGAGGACGACAACGACGAGAGAATGGAGCGGGATTATCAGCGGCAACAGGAAGAGCAGGGTCAGGAGGAGGGAAGAAGAGTTCTCGCGGCCGCGGGGTCCAGCGGTCATAGGGGGCCGGCGGGGGCCATGGCAATTCTGTCAAGCTTTTTGGGGGTCCTCCCGAAGTTCCCCAAGGACCCTTGAGGTTATCCGAGCTCCAGGAGATCCTGGATGCCCCAGAGAGGCCCGAGATTGGCTTCGGGACCTTCCCAAACATTCGATGGCTCCTTGCGTATGAGAGGCATGGGCCCTGGAACCTTTCCAGAAGACCTCGCGTCGCCAAGCAATGACGACGGGGGAGGTTTCACCGTTCTCGGCCTTTGGAGGTCCTCACGAGGCCCCTGGGCCGTTCAAAAAACGCTCGAGACGAAAAGCTTGTCGTTGAGAAAGGGTCGGAATGTCCGGGGACCCTGTACTGAAAAAGTCAAGACGTCGGATATCTGGGCACATGGGCCCCCAGACCTCGCGTTCTGGCCAAAGGTGTCCCCAGCCTTTCGCGCCGATTGAGAGCCCTAGGGTCCCCCGGGGCCTCGCGAGGAGTGTTCAGGAATCCACCTGCCCCCGCCCTCTCCCCCCCTCCTGAGGACACCTTAGCCCAGGAGCACCTCTGACAGGCCCCGACGGGTTCTCATCCTGAGCCGTCCTTTTGGCAGGCCCCGGGCCCAGACGCCCCGCCCTCCCCGCCCATCGGGGGCCCACGTGACGGCGGGCAGCGCCAACGGGGGTCAGCCAATCCCTTCTGGCTGACCCGGGTTTGGGAGCCACGTGGAGCCGATTCCCCCAGCTCGGGAGCTAGAAGGGCGGCCTGCCAGGCTTCGCGACAGAGCCTTGGCCGACCCAGGTTTGTGCTGACCTGGGGTAGTGCGCCCCTGGCCCCCCGTGGAGCCCGCAATTGAAGCAGATCGGCCGTCTCGAGCCTTGTTCGGACCCGCCAGATGTTCGGGCTTGCCGGCCGTGGGAGTCCCGAGCCCACCCCGTCGACGTGCAGTCGGTCCGCGACGCGGTGGGCGGCAAGTGGCGGGAGGCACTCGGGCTGCTCTTCCAGGTTGGTGACAACAGCGTCGAGAAGGACAGTGGAGATCTCCTGCGGGCCTGCGCTCAGGCCCTCTTCTCGCTCTTCTCCCCCCGCCCCGAGGAGGAGGAAAGAGAGGACCAGAGCAACCCCAAGATGCATCAGCGACGCTAAAACGCACCCTCCCGAACCCATCCATGTCCCCTCATCAGAAGTCCCTGCAAGACCAGAATCCGACAGGTCTGCCATTCTGGCGAGAGACCCATTTTAGAAAGGAAGCGCCTTCCATCGCTTTACCGAGCAATAAAGAAATCGAATCGAAAAGGTATGATCGCAGCTGAACGAGGTGTCCTGCCAGATCCCCGTTTTTTTTAATAGTAATAATAATGGGCCCCCCATCTGCGCAATTGTTGCAGAAGCTTACACGTATTTCGTGTTGACATAAACTTCGAGGGAATTCCAAGCGAGATTTCAAGGTTGAAAAAGGATCCGATGATTACATAGCTTCTAGCACATGGTCTTTAAGTATAAGCGAGCCTCAAGCAGAAGCCCCCTTCTCTAGCTTTATACAGAAAAGAAGAAAACAACAACAACAGCAACAACAACAACAACAAAAACAAAAACAAAATCAACAACAACAACAACAACAACAACAACAACAACAACAACGACAACAACAATAACAACAACAATAACAACAACAACGACAATAACAACAACAACTACTACTACTACTACTACTACTACAACTACAACAACTACAACAACTACAACAGCAGCAATAATAATGATAACGACAACAGCAACAACAACAACAACAGCAACAACAAAAGTATAAAAAGAACGTCCTCCATCCCTGTAACGATTGCAAATTTAGGAGGCACATGTGCGCATCTCTAAGGCGAGAGATCCATTATGACAAGGAGTCGCCCTCCACATTTGTAGCTGCCGAAAACTGTTAAGACGACTGCGCGCGGCGCTGAGGCGAGAGCCCCATCTTGAAAACCGGCACCCCTTCATGGTAGTTGTCGGAAGCTTTCGATACGAAAGCGGTCGGCGATAGGGTGAGAGCTCCATTATGAAAAGAGCCACCACCTCCATCTTTGTAGCTGTGGCAAGTGCGCGCACTACCGACACATCTGGGGCAGCGACGGATTACCGATAAGGAAAAGTGGTTGAGAAGGAGGACAGGGACCAACACCGCCAGCGTCTCCCTATTTCGAGCATCGGGGGGCCAGTTTCGGGCCCTGAGGCCATCAACAGGCAACTCAGAGCGAAGAACCGGGCCCCATGAAGGGATCGAGATGTCTGGGGCCCCATGTCTCCAAAAATTGTCTCGTGGATGTCTGGGGAGGAACAGCGGCTGGCCTTCGCCCACATTTGCTCCCCGGCCAGTCAGCAGGCGTGGCAGTGGAGACTTGCGATGCAACTGCTGCGAGAAGATCCCGCGCCAAGCACGGAGTGGTTCGAGCACGCCATCCAGGCGCGCGTCGGCAGTAACCGCAGGCACGCCTTCTACTCAGGACCTCGGTTGGACGAGGTGGAGTGGAGGAAGCAGAGGGTAGCCTTGGTTGGAGTCTCTAATCGGCCAGCAATTCCCTTGCAGTGGCCGCCAGCCTCGGCCGAAGAGGAGCAGGACCTCGTCGCCGTCGAGCTCGCCCGAGAGGCGCTGGCCTTGCTGGGGCTGGGCGGCGAGGGCGCGCCAGGCTCCCCGGCAGATCTGCTGGCGCACGCTGCCGCGATGCGCCTCTGCAGCGCCGCGGGCGTGGCGCGCTGGGCCCTGGAGGTCTTCGAGCGCATGCAGGGCACGCACGTGCAGCCAGACGCGGCCTGCTACAGCGCGGCGATCCAGGCCTGCCGGGAGAGCGGCGACTGGGCCAGGGCGGTGCGCTTCCTCGGGGAGATGAGGGCGTCCGCCATGTCGCCCAGCGCGGCTGCCTTCCGCGATGCCGCGCGCGCCTGCGATGCCGCCCGCGTACCGGAGATGACGCTCAGAGTATTCGTAGATTCGCGCACGGTGGGCCTAGATGCCGACACATGCGATGCGGCGATCAGTGCATGCGAGCAGATAGCAGCATATCAGGGTTGGATACCACAGTTGTTCAATGAGTCGATTCAGTTCGTGCGTGCGCACGATTGGCACGCGGAAGATGCGCCCAAGGCGCATTCGGATGCTTTTTCGGCAGCGATCACATCGTGCACGAGGTCGGGGAGCTGAAATTTGCATAGCACGCGAGGAGGTCCGCGCGGAGTTCCTGGGTATGCGCCTGATCCCCCTCCTCGTCGCGCTCCGCGCGGCATGGGAGGGGGGGTCTGGCGTCGATCCCAGAAATCCGCGCGGCTCTTCTAAGTTCTGGAAGGGGAAAAAACACACAGACACAATTAATCGCCGATTCCCCAGAAAATATGGGAAAATATGGGAAGTGGGGAGGAAGACAAAAACCCAGTAAATATTGGAAAATATGGGGAATCATGTTATTTGTGTGTCTTTATTTGTGTGTCCCAGTTTCCCTTCATAAGTTTATATGTATGCTGGTTTTCTTCTCCTAGGTGCGGCGAGTGGGAGCTTGCCCTTCGGCTGCTTGAGGAGTCCAAAGGCGACGACGGTGTGTCTGCAGCCGCCATATTCAATGCCGCGGTGCGGGCTCTCACCCTCGGGGGTTGGGGAGAACTGTCGTTGCCACTGCTCAGAGAGATGGATCGACTGACGTTATCACCAGATTCCTTCACATTGCATTCTGCTATGCTGGAGTCCGTCCGTACGGCAAGAGTTCGCGACGCTAGATTGTTGTATGCAAGGGTTCGCCGCTTACAGATTGCCCCACCGTGGATCCGTTCTTCAACGTGCATCGACGTGGCAGGGTTGGAAGTTGAAGTTGCTAAACTTGCTACGCAGACATTCATAGAAGAAATGTGCCGGTCAAAGTTAAGAAGGGAGATTGCGATCATCACCAGCGGCGAGCTGACCGAAGCGCCCGACCCGGATGGGTTTGATTCCGAGATGAAGAAAGAATTGTACGCGTTCTTGTCCCAGATGTACGGTTTGCGGGCGAGCCCCTTCAATCCAGGCCTGAGGAGGGGAAAGAGGAAGGAAGGAGGAGGGAGGGATAAAGCGCGGCCACGCGCGAGGAGGGAGGGATGTAGGGGGGTGGAGGTGGAGAAGGATGGAGCCAGGGAGAAGGGAGGAGGGAGAAGGGAGGAGGGAGAGTGAGGAGGGAGGAGCGAGGAAGGAGGAGGGAGGAGCGAGGAGGAAGGAGGGGGGAGCGACGAGAGAAGAGTGAGGAGGGAGGAACGAGGAGATGGGAGCAGGGAGGAGGACCCAGACCCCCTCGCGCTGCGAAAACAACATGACGGGAGGCGTTTCTCTATCTTCAGCCTCTGGGCCCCCTTACCAGGCCTCGGGACCGTCAAAACACGATGCATGAAAGACCTGCCCCAGGGAAGGGGTCCAGACCTCTAGGGATCGACGTTGTGAACAGATCACGACGTCAGGGGGCCTGGGGGAGGGAGACGGAGCCGACGCCGCGGGCGGAGCACGTCCCCACGGCCTGCCACGGAGGCAAACCATCCCTGTGGGCCGGACGACTCTTCTCCGATCGGCCTGCGGGTGTCAGGCCACAGAAGACTTGGGCAGATGCCGACGTAGACCGCTGCAGATCCGAACATGTCGAGGTCAGTCCAGGGATGTCCAGGCAGGTCTGGAGATGCCGCGCGAGCTCCAGCGCGAGCCGCAGAACCGCACAAGTCGTTGAGCCCTCGGTGAGAGGAGAAGGAGGAAGATAAGAAGAGGAGGAGGAGAGGAGGAGGAGGAGGAGGAGGAGGAGGAGGAGGAGGACATGTCGTGTCTTCGTCGGTTGTCACAGAAGGGGTCAGCCAGACGGCTGCCATCAGCTTGTGTCTCAAATTCTTAACGCTTCGCGTATCCTCACCAGTCGGTCAGGTTCCCCACCTGCGGGTCTGGCTTGTGTTCGTTGGTTGTCCACCTGTGGCAGCTGCTCTACCGCTGGCATCCGTTCAGTGGTTTTGCATGGTAATCTTCTGGCATCGCGCCCCTTTGCCTCATACCGCCCTCTGGACTTTTCCTTGCGGGCCGCAGATCAAAAAAAATATCCTCACCAGTCCATCCAGGGACGATGCCTAGGGGAGCCGCCCTAATCGGGGGAGCGCGGCATACGTCGGATACTTCGGGGAGCCTCAGTGAGCTAGAGGCCTCTTGGATGCCTCTCGGAGTCGCTTGAGATGCCTCCTGCGGGCATTCAGTGAGAAGGGTGGAGCCCCAAGCACCAGCACCAGGTCACAGGGCATTCGCCCTTGAAGGCGCGCGCCCAGACAGAATTCGAAACCAGTGCGGTTTGCATTGAGTTTTGACTGGGGCTGTGGGCTTGCACAGAGAGGATAAGACGAGGGCACCCCCGCTGAGTGATCACAGCGCGCAGAGTGGTCACGGAGCGCCCGCGCACGGTCCAGATCTTGGCGCACAGCGTTCTGCGCAGAGTGTTTTGACAGGGATGGTGGACTTCTAGAGAGCAAACAATAAAGCTGGGGCGTGGACCTCAGGAACGCTAAACAAGGAACGAGGCCCTTTTTCCATTATTTCCCTTCGGAAAAACTGGGGAAAAAACCGAAGGCAAGCTGCGAAATAATCAAGGAGCACCGAGCCCCTCCCCAACGAGAAGGGCTCCTTCTTCAGCGCCCCGACGGTACGAGGGGACCCCCGCCGTCTCCGTCAAAAGCTAAGGCGCGAAGTGAGCACGGGGCGCCCCCGCGCACGGCCCAAGTGTTGCTTTGCTGCAGTGCGCACTTCGCCCTCGGTTTTTTGACAGGGATGGCGGGCCGGGGGGCATTGACCCGAGTTTGTCGCCGGTCGGGCAGGGAAGGGGTGTTTTTTGGGGTCGTGGATTTGGACGCCCGCAATGGGCACGGAAAGAATGGGCACAATGCCCAACAACAAATGTTGTCCCAAACCAACAGCGGCCGCTGTTGGGCAGGCGGCCTTCTGTTTCAAATGGACACAGGCCGCGGCGACACCGACAGCGATACCTGTTCAGAATGAACAGGAACTTTTGCTGGGCATTGTACCCATTCTTTCCGTACCCATCTCGGGCGTCCAAAGTGGAGGGGGGAGCGCTCTTAACCAACTACGCCCCAAAGTGCTGGCGGGATTTGTGCTACACTTCAACGTGCAGCTCTTCGGCCTGCCAGCGAACGGTAAGGATCGGGCCCGCCCCCAGGTGCGCGCCAGGGGGAAGAGGAGGCGAACCCCTTCGCCCCAGGCTCATTGTCCGTCTGCCGCCCAGAAGGGGAGGAGGGCCCAGGAGAAGCGAAAGACCCTCCAGTGTGAGTGTGCCAACCTCCTTCATGCCATCTCTATTTCTCTCTCTCTCTCTCTCTCTCTCTCTCTCTCACTATTCCGTTACCCCCTGTGGCTCTGGAATAGAAGGGCCCCTTCTGACGCCGAGCCTGCAATTGGATCTCATAGTAATTCAAGTTACCAGGGTAACACGGGAACAAGTTACCTGTTCTCCCGCTCTGGTGTTATAGCCAGCACCGTAGAGCGTGGGCCACAGCGAACCGCCTTCGGATTGTGACGAGGGCCTCGGCTAAGGACGCCAATGCTCTTATCGCCATTGACGAGACGAAGACGTTTCCGGCAATGGTAGCGGAGCTAGTCGATCCGACTGGCTTCAACGCCTACGCGACGTTCTGCGCTGGCGATCCCTGGACGATGCCGACTGCTAGGAGTTGACTGATGTCTAACAGCTGATGGTGCCGAGCGGGAGGATTGAGGACCTCCCTTGATGGCGCCCTTTTTTTTTCGCGCTCCTGCAGCGGACGCGGGTCCACTCGCCGGCGCGGACAACGCCGGCGCCCGACCCCCGGCCGCTGCGGCTCAGCGCTGTTGCCCGCGGCATGGGCGCGCCGCGCTGAACCTTCCTGCCGACGGAGTGGAAGGGCGGTCTTTCACGCCCCATCCTCCCCCTGCAGGTCTAAGATGGCAAAGCTCGGCCCTTGCTCGGACCTGACAGCTGCGATCCTCTAGCATCCCAGGCGGGCAGCCGCGACCTGGCGCAGGCAGGCAGGACCACCCCTGCCGCTCAGCGGGGCGGCGCTCAGACGTCCTCGGAGGCCTGCAGGGGGCGGCGCCGAAGACGAAGACCAGCACACGGACATCCAGAATACCGACACAGCTGAGGTAATATACATACATAAATGTATAATGGTAATACTAATATTAATAATAATACTAATAATAATAAGAAGAAGAAGAAGAAACAAAAAAAAAAAACGAATAATAATCATTCTTGTTATTATAAGTATAATACGAATTCTAATTATGATAATAAGAGTAATAATAACAATAATAATAATGATGATAATAATGATAATAACAATAATAATAACAAAAATAATAATAATAATAGTAATAATAGTAATAAGAAGAAGAAGAAGAAGAAGAAGAAGAAACGTACAGATGCACAATTGTGCACAGGCACATCCAGCGCAAAAACTGTAGAATGCCTTGCGGGTTCGGGGGGCCCCCCAGCCCCCAGGGCCGCCAAGGAGCCCCGAAACGGCGCTGGAGGGCCCCCAGAGGGCCCCGGAACGACACCGGAGCTGCCCAGACGAGCCTCGAGACGGCCCAAGGAGGCTCCGAGATGACCAAAGACAGCCCCGAGATGACCCGAGACGGCCCTCAGACGGCCCAAGATGTTCCCAAGACGGCCCGAGGGGCCGCCAAGACGCCCCAGGATGGCTCCGAGGGGACACCGCAGAAAGCCCCAAAAGGCCGAAATCGTAGATGTCCTGTGGGCTTCCTACGGATACTGAGATTCTCGCGTCCTTAACCGTCTGGACCCGCAAGACGGCCCAAGAGGCCTCCAGGATCGCCCCGAGACGGCTCAAGAGGCGCCCAAGAGAGCCCCAAGACAACCCAGGAGGGGGCCCAAGGGGGGCCCAAGAGGCCCCCACGACGGCCCAGTAAATTCCCAAGAGGCCCCCAAGACGGCCCAACAAGCCCCCAAGAGGCCCCCAAGACAGGCCAAGAGGACCCTGGATCTGCCCACGAGAGCCCCAAGATGGCCGAAGATGCTGTCAAGACGGCCCCAGAAGGCCTAAGACGCCCCAAAAGAGCCCCAGAAGGACCCCCAAGAGGGCCTGAACTGGCGAAATCATCGATGTCACGTTGCTTGTCGATCGCACGCCGCAGCTTGCTGGCATTTGCGCGCCGGAGACAGAAGTGCGCGTCGGCAAATTTCGCCTCACGCAGCCACGTGGATTTAATCCACGGGTTCACACTATCATATAAATATATGTGTATATATATAGTGAATATATATATATATATATATAGTGAGGGTGCGAACGGCCGTACACCATCCATGGGTGCGTGCCTGCAGTGGGCTCTCGCGGTGAGGATTATTGGTGTTGTTGTTTCATTGTTGTCATCGTCCTGGCCTGCACGACCCACCCCATCTGCGACCCACCCCACGCCCGCCCCCTCACTCTTACCTGCAACTGCGGGGCACTACGTACTTAACTATCGATCGACCCGTCGCGCCAGGCAGTGGGACAGGAGCGGGCTGATATGGAGAGCAGAAGTTGCAGACACACCACGCACGCCTGAGAAAGCATGAAGGCAGTCGTGCTCAGGCAACAGCGGGCCGAGCCGGCGCATCGCCAGCTCGGAGCAAGCGCCAACCGGAGCTCAAAGAGGCCGTGATCTCCTCGAGATGTCGCTGGTCGGTCCGGGGGCGCAGCGCCGTGCGGCTACCATCATCGGCGGTGAATTCACATTCGGCCAGGCGGGCAAGGCCTTGCAGCACCTCTTCCCAGAGAGTGGGAGGGCCCATGCTCTGATCACGCCTTTCGGCAACTCGATCGGCAAGCCGCCGCCAGGAAAGGGAATGCACGGAAGCCAGCGCTCAACGAGCTCGTCGGCTCCAAGCACAGCTAGCGCGAGATCGTCGACGTCCTCGCGCCGGACTCTCCATGGAGAGGCCTCTTACAGACACTTTGGGGTATCTTGGGAAGCCTCTCGGGGGCCTCTTGGAGCCCTCTCGGGGGCCTCTCGGGTGTATATCAGGGCCTTGCTGGGAGTTATGAGGGGCCTCTGGGGGCCTCTTGGCGGTGTTTGTTGACATATTGGGAAGAGGGCTCGAAATGTCAGTTCGAGTTTCTACGTGTGGGGCACTCTTGGGGGCTTCGAGGGCCGTATTGGGGCGATACAGGGGGCGCCCTGAAACCCGAAACGCCGAGTACTGTCAGGATGTTATCGCGGAGAAGGGGCTATTGGTGGCGGAGGAACGGGCGCGTGCGCGGCTGCGCTTGAAGCGCACGCGCCCGCATCTGCCATTCTCGCCGCCTCCGCTCGAGCTCCTGGCCTCCGCCCAACTGGCTGCCAAGATCGACGCGATCAAGAAGGAGCTGACGATGGCCAGGGCGGCGCAGGCTATCGGGGCGAGGTGACCGACGAAATCGAAGGCACCGAGGATGACCGAGGGCGGCCAGCCCGACGGAGGCCCTGACATAGGCCCAGCCGACGGAGCAGCAGCCGCCGCCCAGGCAGCCGCAGCAGGCGACGTCACCTCTGGTGGCCCTCGAGGCGGCGCGGGTCCCCAGCTCTCCCCTGTTGCTCCTCGCGGCGTGCTCGAACCTCCTCCCGTGCGGACGACCTCTCGGCTGCGCGGACGCCCTCGCTCCCGCGGCACCTCCTCACGAGTCGCCCACGCTGTGGCGGCCCCGATGACGCCGCAGGCCCCGCCCGCCCCCGAGGAGGACTTCACAGAGCGACCGCCCGGCGAGGAGGTCGAGCCTCCTCCTCCTCCTCCTCCTCCTCCTCCTCCTCCTCCTCCTCCTCCTCCTCCTCTCCTCCTCCTCCTCTCCTCCTCGTCCTCCCCCTCCTCCTCCTCCCCCTCCTCCTCCCCCTCCTCCTCCTCCTCCTCCTCCTCCTCCTCCTCCTCCTCCTCCTCCTCCTCCTCCTCCTCCTGGAGGACGAGGAGGAGAAGCAGGTCGGACCTCCCATGGATTTGATCTCGGAGCCTGACGGGAGCGCACGGAGGCGTTCACCCAGGTTGCGCTGGACGGCGCTCCCTGGGGCGCACAGCCGCCCCCGCGAGTGCTCGTGCAGGACGGTTCTCGTCTCCCGAAGGCGCGCCGCATCTCGACAGTGGACGGGGCGGACCTCCGAATCCGCGGGGATCCGACTGCGATGGAGTCGGGCTTCCTCTCGCCTGCTCTTGGCGATGCGGATTGTTGACGGCGTGGTGGACGGACGCCATCCTGCCGGCCGGCTCCATGAGCCTGCCCGTCGGCTCGATGACTGTGCTTGACGGTCGCGGCCTCGACGCTCGCCAGAAAGCGCGCAAGGTGGACCGCCAGTACGGATTGACGAATCAATGCAAGACGAAGAAGAATGTGAAGTACTCAGGGCGAAGCAGCTTTCCAGGCTGAAGCTTCAGCTCACGTTGCCGTACCAGCTCACGCCAAAGTACCAGCACAAGCGGACCTACCTGCACACGTTGAGGTTGCGGTACCCGTTCACGCTGTTGTACCATTTCACGCTTACGTGCCAGTCCACGTTGGAGTACCGATACAGCGCGAAGCTGAGGTACCCGGTCACGCTGCTGCGCCAACACACGCCGAGCGTCCAGCACACGACGCCGCAGAAGTACCAGCTCCAGTTGGCCCCCCTTCGGCGGCCACGGTGGCCAGGAGCGTCGCGTACCTCAACGTGCTGGCGGAGGTTAGGGCGCTTTCCATGCACGGCTTGGACGCGCAGAGGATCTGCAACGACCTTGCTGGTCAGGCGACGATGTTGCATCACTTGGGAGCTCGAGCCAGTGATCGGTCTCTAGTGGCGAAGGCGCTTGCCTACAGGCAGGCCGCCTAGACCATCCAGAGACGCGCAGATGCCGCAGGCACCCCGCTGGCCGGCATCCCCGCCTGAGCCTCGTGATCCTGGAAGAGCGCGTCAGCAGCAGCGGGGGTGGCTTGCCGTTGTCTGCCTCGTCCCGCGCGCTCGCCACGGGGGCGCGCGGTGCAGGCGTAGGTCCGCTGGGGCTGCCTGGTTTGAGCCGCCCCAGAGCGTCTACTTCCTCGGAGCGCATCGGTGCGGCGCCGATGTGAGCTGGGGCCGCCGGGAGCACTGCCGCTCATCTGAAGAATCGCCTGCCCTCGGCCGTTTCAATCGTATCGGCACCGTGTACGCCGATACCGTTTCCTTCATCCAGATTTTTTCAACACCGTCATCCCCCTCCTGTTCTCGATCTGGATTCCGACATGCGGCCCTGAGGGTTTATAGGGATGCTTGCTTCCGATCACAGGTATTGGATTATTCCTGCTGTCGTACATTTGCATATTCTTCTCCCCACCCCATACTGTATTGGGCCTCTCGTCCGCGCATCGCTGGCCCAGTGCTGCCGCGCCCGCCGAAAACTGGCGTGTGTTGCATTGCGTAGCCCCTCTTGTTCCCTTCCCCCTGTCCCCCAAACCAGTGCCTGAGCGTGTCTTCCAGCAGCTGTTGTCCCGCAGTTGCGTCGAGCCCGATCTAGCGCCATGTCGGCCGAGACGATGTCAGTACAGCCTGGTCGGTGCACACTGAGTTGTGCGCGGGTGGCCCCGATGGCTGCGCATGAGGCTGGCGGTGATTTGGGGAAGACGGTGGGCAGAGAAGCGGCGTGGACGGACAATTGGCTGCACATGTAGCTCGCACTTTGCAGAAAAACATACAAGTTGACGCCTGTATATCTATATATATATAAATAGAAATATACATACATAAACACATATGTATACATATACATATACGTATACATATGCATAAACATATACATGTACATATACATGCACATGTACATGTACATATATATATGTATATATATACATATACATATACATATATGTATACACCTACATATACATATACATCTACATATAGTTATGTATGTATATATTCATAGATCTATACATATACATATATATATAGACATGTACATACGCACGTACACACATATACATACGCATATGCAAGTATATATACATATACATGTACATTACAGATACATGTACATATACATGTACACATACATGCACATAAAAATATGCGAACATACTGGGAACCTATACGCATACAAAACGGAGCTACCTTGATATAGGGCGCGCCGGCGAGGTTGGGTAGCGAGCACCCCTGGAGGGCCCCAAAACGGCCCCAGAGTGCCCCAAAGGGGCTCCAAGACGGGCCAAGAGGGCCCCGAGTCGCCGAGCGATCGTTCCAAGACGTTCCAGATGGCTTCGAGACGGCCCAAGAGGCTTCCACCAAGACCTCCCAAGATGCCTCTAAGAGCCTTCCCAAGAGAGCGCCCATAAGCAAAAATCGGCTCAATCCCTTCAGGTGGGGAGACATGCATGTCTAGCAGATGCGAATTGTCAGCCTTCACGGCGTCCCAGACGGCCCAACAGGCTTCCCAGATCATGACAAGAGACCCCCAAGAAGTCCCCGAGACGTCCAAAGAGGGCCCCAAGACGGCCCAACAAGCGCCTAAGAGGGCCCGCAGAGGGGTCCAACAGGGGGAACTCGAATTGAGATTTTGAACTCACCGCCCCTGGGGGCCGCCGAGACCGCCAAGGGGCCCCTAAGAGGCCCCCAAACGACCGCGCGAAATGGCCGTCCCAACCCGCTCATATACCGAATTGAGGAACCAATGAGTAGGGCGACGGTCAGAAAGTGTATACCTGTACATGTGTGTATGCGTGTATGAATATACAGATATATGTGTATACACTGTTATGTAACTATATGTGTATCGGTTCATGCTTGTGTATATGTATGTGTATGTGTACATGTGTATGTATGCGCACAGCCACATTCAAATGTACATGTATGTATGTACATGTATATATGTTAGCCTTCTGGTCAGAGGCTTCTGGATTGCAGATCAGAGGCCTTTTGGTTATCTGTGGGCATCTCTTGGGAGGCCTCTCGGAAGCCTGTTGGACGCGGTCTTGGGGGTGTGTTGATGCCTATGGGGGCTTCCTGGGGCTTCTAGGGGACCCCTCGGGGGCCTGCTGGCGGTCTCACGTGTCATTCTGGGGCGGAAAGTGCGACATGTCAGTCCGAGGTCCCCCTATTGGGACCCTCGTGGGTCCCTCTTGGGCCGTTTTGGCAGCCTCTTGGGCCGTCTTGGGGCCCTGAAGAGGGGGGGGGGACGATAAGAGGGGAGGTGAGCCTTACAAGGCCCCCTGAAACCCCAAAGCTCTTCCGCAGTCTCCCGACCCCCCCCCCAAAAAAAGGCAGAGGCTGCTCTGTGACCTTGCCGGTAGCCAGGCCGGGGGGGAGAGGAAGAGGGGGACGGAGGAGGAAAAGAATAGGAGGAGAAGGAGGAGGAGGAGGAGGAGGATACAAAGGAATAGGAAGAGGAGGAGGATCGAGGAAACGCCAGCAGGAATGAGGGCGCGTGGATTAGCGACGGGTCCCGTCTCCATGCCAAAGTCCACGCACACCGTCGACAAATCAGGCGGCATTGGCGTCATATTTTCGGGGGGAGCGTCGACTAACGACTAACTGATAATTGTGATTACGCTCCCCATGGAGGGAGAGTGAGCTCGAGGAAGACAAAACGGCATGAACAGAAACCTTCGGAGGTCAACGCAGATTTCTCGGATCGGCGCTGGAACCCCTTGGCGGCGCTTTCGGCACCCGTGCGCCGATCCGAGAACTGTCATGTGTACGTATTTAATCGCTTCGCTCATTCCGCCGGCCCTGGAGCCCTCTTTAGGGCCTCTTGGGGACCTCTTGGGAGTCTCTTGGGGCTCCTTGGCGGCGTCTTGGGGGCCCCCAGGGCCTCTTGGGGGGCTCTTGGGGGCCTCTTGGGGCGGGAGGGGGGAGTCAATTGCGGCTCCCCCCTCGGAGGCCACGATCTTCGTGAGGGGTGTCGAAGAATAGCCCTCCCCTGGAGTGCTCTGGGGGGACCTGGCCGGGGTACTTTTCGTCTGGGGGCCCCCAGGGGCCGCTCCGCGCGCGCGGGCTAGAAATATCGTTAACCAATTACCGGAGATCTTAGCACGCCTCTGACCCGTTGGGCCGGAGAATTTTGTCCCTTCTATGAACCCGCGGTCACCGAGATCCGCTGCCGTGGGTGAAATCGCAGCGTCGTCAGAATCACCGCCGGACCTCTCGAGACCCTGTGGCCCTGCAGCACTGCTCAGGCCTGGTCGATTTCCGCGCGGGCCCCCAGGCCAAGAAGCAGAGTGAGATCGGCCGTCGTGGCCGTTGGCCACTACGCTTAAGTCGGGCCTGTCCCTCCACAGGGGGAATATTCGAAAATAATCAAAAAAAAAATTGGGGACGATTTTTGACAATTTTGAACATGTTTAGTGCATTTTAGGAGTATCTGTAATCCATAAGGACTTCGCCCCATGCCGCCGGCCCCTACGGATCTGCGTGAGGGGTGCCACCGGATTTCAGAAATGTAGCAAATCCCATGTGTTTTTGAACCCTGACCCTACGGATCTGCGTGAGGGGTGCCACCGAATTTCAGAAATGTGGCAAATCCCCTTTGTTTTTGGACCCTGACCCTGTCGATCCGCGTGAGGGGTGCCACTGCATTTCAAAAATGTTCCAAAATCCCCTGCGTTTTGGAACCTGACCCCGCCGATCTGCATGAGGGGTGCCACCGAATTTCACAAATGTGGCAAATCCCCTCTGTTTTTGAACCCTGACTCCGCCGATCTGCGTGAGGGGTGCCACCGAATTTCAAAAATGTGGCAAATCCCTTGTGTTTTTGGACCCTGACCCCGCCGATCTGCGTGAGGGGTGCCAGCAAATTTCAGAAATGTGGCAAATCCCATTTGTTTTCGGACCCTGACCCCGCCGATCTGCGTGAGGGGTGCCACCGAATTTCAGAAATGTGGCAAATCCCGTGTGTTTTTGGACCCTGACCCCGCCGATCTGCGTGAGGGGTGTCAACTTGTACCCACTCCAGCAATTCAGAGCACACGCTCAGGGCGTGCTAAACCTGCCCGTTTGGGCCTCCCCCCCCCCGCGCGGTCCATCAACAAGGAAAAGTAAGCAGCAAGAAGCAGAACTGTAACAGTGGAAACTGGAAGCTGCAACTGGTACAGGAAACTGCGAACCTTCGGCCTACAGCCTGGTGGCCCCACAAGGGGGCTGGCGGATTTTACACCCAAAATCCCCTTGTAGGGGGACACGCCCGACTGAACACTACGCTGGAATCCGAGGCAATGAGGGTAAGCTTTCACACAAAGCAGCTGGCCGCGGCCCCAGGCAAGATCGTGGTTACCAAGATGGAGATGTCCAGGCTGAAGTTGCGGCGGAATCCGGGAGCCGGTGACGAGCGGAAGAGTTTGCGGAGACATACGCAGGAGAGAATGGCCCAGCAGTTCGCCTGGACCTGCGACGAGGACAACGAGGACGATTAATTGCAATAGCGGAGGCGCGCTGGCCCAGAGGAGGAAGAGGAGGAGGAGGAGAAGAAGAAGAAAAAGAAAAGGAGAAGAAGGAGGAGGAGAAGACGAAGGAAGGGGGAGGAGGAGAAGACGAAGGAAGGGGGAGAGGGGACGAGGGGGGGAGGCGGAGGAGAAGGAAAAAGGAGTTCGAAGGGAGGACGCGGGGAGGACGACGAGGAGGAGGAGGAGGAGGAGAGGAGGAGGAGGAGGAGGAGGAGGAGGAGAGGAGGAGGGAGGAAGGAGGAGGAGAGGAGGAGGAGGAGGGAGGAGGAGGAGAGGAGGAGGAGGGAGGAGGAGGAGGAGGAGGAGGAGGGAGGAGGAGGGAGGAGGAGGAGGAGGAGGAGAGGAGGAGGAGGAGGAGGAGGGGAGGAGGAGGAGGAGAGGAGGAGGAGGAGGAGGAGGAGGAGGAGGAGAGGAGGAGGAGGAGGAGGAGGAGGAGGAGGAGGAGGAGGAGGAGAGAGGAGGAGGAGGAGGAGGAGGAGGAGGAGGAGGAGGGAGGAGGGAGGAGGAGGAGGAGGAGGAGGAGGAGGAGGAGGGAAGAGGAGGAGGTGGAGGAGGAGGAGGAGGAGGAGGAGGAGGAGGAGGAGGAGGAGGGAGGGAGCAGGAGGAGAAAGAGGAGGAGGAGGAGGAGGAGGAGGAGGAGGAGGAGGAGGGAAGAAGGACGGGCAGAAAGAGGGAACAGCCGAGGCGGTTCGGTTCGGGACGGGCCCACAGGCCCCTCAACTTGGGGAGCCCTCTCCGGAAAGGCGGGGCCCGCCGCCGTCCGCCCCACTGGGAGGCGGCATCCCGGGCGAGGTGCCTGTGCTCACCGCGGCGCACGGGCGCCTCTCGGCCGCGGCGGGCGGCAGGGAGCACGGGGCCTGCGCCCGGCTCGTGCCCACCGGAAAGAAGCCGTCCCGCGCGCGGTGCAGGACGGCGCGGCGTCTGGGGAGCTGTCGGGGGCGGCAAAGAGGGGGGTGATGACTAGGGAGGGTGGGTATCATGGCGGGGGCCATGCTATTTCCCCAGATTTTATGGCGCCTCTTCTTATTTCATGACGTCCCTGGCGCCCCCGCTGGGCCGCGCACATGCCGCCGGTCATGATTTGCACCCCCCCCTCTTGGACACCCCCCTCTTTGCCGCTCCCGAAGCTGCGTTGCAGACAGATCACGACGTCGGACGTTTGGTTTTCAGCGACCGCTTGCGAACCCTACCCCTAGGAGTCCAACCGGCGCCAGGGTATCGGGCACCCCAGGGGTCCGACGGAGCCGTCGGCGAATTGGGTCGGCGACACCTCCCTGAACATGGCCGCACTCGCGAGGTCCAGGTGTCCGCCGATGCCGACAGGGAAACCGTCCGTCGAGCAGCCGCAAACATGTATGCGAGCGGCCGTTCGGCACAAGCTGGCTGGGTGGCCACCAGCACACAGGACCCCGAGGACGAGAAACTCGCCACTCCCAGGGGCCCAGGAAGGGACACCTGCCGCGATTAGAACCTGGCACAAAACCAGGATTTGGTAAATGTGTAGTCGACCAGGGGGATCAAACACCACACCGACTTTCGGAGCCGTCTCCTCTCGGTTGGCCGTGCAGCAGCACTCCGTCCCATATGTAGTCGACCAGGGATCAAACACCATCCTGACTTGGGCAATCTTCCGACTGCTCTCACCAAAGATGATCGTCACCATCATCGTCCTCGGATTCCTCTCCTCTCAGCTGGCCGTAGAGAGTAGCTCCTTCCATCGTAAGGCTGTACTCCTTCGACACTCTGGGCGAGTCCAAATGCTGGCAGGAGATCTGGTTCTCCGTCGTCTGTGCCAGCCTATCGATAGCTCGCTCGGTCGCTTGTCTCGGGCCTTCGATTTTTCGTTGTCCCTGTTTGTTCGGTTCGGTCCCTCGCTCGGCTCTGTTTGGGTCCTGGTCCGTCCCTCGCTTCTTTCGGCCCTTCTTCGGGCCCCTCGCTCGTCGTTTCGGCGCCACGGGCAGGAGTGGTCGGCAGACGATCACCCGCGCGCAAATCAAAATCAAAAAAGGACCCCAGGTAAGGGGACCCAGTTAGTGGTAGGGCCCCAGAGCTTTTGAATTGGCCAGAATCACTAAACCAGGTTTGCCATAGCTGGTGTTTTTTCGGGTGACGGCAGTTCCGGTGAGTGGAAATGGGACGGGGGGGCGCCCCCAGTACAGATCACTAAACCAGGTTCCACTAAACCCAGTTCTGCCAACGCCCGAATTTCTTGGAATAGTATATCGTCCCTCTCGTGGCGATACTCAGGCAGAGAGGTGGCATCAGCTTGACACCCTTCTTGATACTCTGCGGGTGCCGCCAGCTGTTGAGATGACGAGTGATCTCCAACATCCTGCCTACAGTGCCGTTTTTGTATACATGCTCCGCGTGCGGATCGTGTATTGGAAATGCAGGGATTTAGTATTAAAAACAACGATGAGTTCATGCATAAATTCATTCATTAATTAATCATGTATTAAAATCCCATATTTTTGAAAGTCCTATGTATTAAAAACTGCCCTGTAGCACCGTCGAACTGCATGGGCACACCTGAGCCAGCCCTCTCTGAGTCTGGGACACTAACGGATATGTCTTTCCCTCCACCGGAAACCTGATTAGCGCGTGACGGCTGGTGAGCCAAGGTTTTGGGCTAGACGCTTCTTGTGCCAGCGCCCCTTCCAGCACTTCTTCGTCGTCCTCCTGCACAGGGAGACAGGAATATTTGAAGTCATCATCTTGCTCATGGGCCAGACCTCGAGGTTGGCCACGCATTCGAGCAATAGTTTGTGGACCCTAGCGGAACCTCTCAACATCAAGGTCTGAAGGTTTGGCGGTAGTTGAGATTTGGCCACGTGCTTGGCAAGCGTGTCGGCCTGCTTGCATCTCGAAGAGATTCAGCTGATCTCCACATGCATCATTCATCAAGGCATGACCCTTGACGTGACGAAAGTATCAACATCGAAAGCCTCCTTGCATTCCTGTCATGTTCCAAATGTGGGCTCGCTGACACTGGGGGCCCATGGCCCAATCCAACCTCCTGCAGAAGCTGACTGAGCCCTTGCACTCGGGGGGCCCAAGAGCCCAGCACCATCTGACTCGCTTGGAATATCACGTAGTCATCTCCGTCTTTGGGTGCCTGCTGTGGGTCCATGTCTGTAAGCACTCAACCTCTGAATCGGGCAATCCTGACTCTCCCACTGTTGCACACCACTACCGACCAGCCCACCACCCTCTATTCAGGAAAGGGGGCAGGAAGCTGCTGCAATCAACGAAGACGGGAACCGCCTCAACTCGGACCACTCTTGCACCGCCCACGTCTATGAAGTCGCGGTCCGAATTCCTCAGCGCAATGAAGAAAGTTTATCCCGGGTGTGGACTCAATATTTTCGCTAATCTTTCTTGGTGGGTTGGCGTGCTATTCTTCAGCCTGAGTTAGCCTGGCGAAGTACCCAACCATATGCAGCTGTGAGTACCGCAGTCGTGAATACCATCTTAGGTGGAGTTCCCTATGGGCCACGAAACGTGCGAGGGGTGTGCCGACTTGGGTGCGGCGCGCGCATGCGGGCGCTGCCATTGGTGCCTTCGGTGGAGCTCCCTCTAGGGCCTTCGGTGGAGCTCCCTATGGGGGGGCACGCAGCGTGTGAGAGGTGTGTCGAAATGTGTGCGGCGAGCGCATACGGGCGCTGCCTTGTAGGCATTCAGTGGAGCACCCTATGGGGCCCACGAAACGTGTGAGGGGTGTGCCGAAACATGTGCGACGGGCGCATACGGGCGCTGCGTTTTGGGCTTCCAGTGGAGCTCCGTATTGGGCCACGAAACGTGTGAAGGGGTGTGCCTACATGGATGCGGCGGGCGCATGCGGGCGCTGCCTTTTGGGCCTTCGGTGGGGCTCTCTGTGGGGGCCACGAAACGTGTGAGGGGTGTGCTGACATGGGTGCTGCGGGCGCATGCGAACGTAGCCACTGAAGCCTTGGGTGGAGCTCCCAATGGGGCCATAAAACTAACGAAGGGTGTGCCGACATGGGTGCGGCGGGCGCATGCGGGCGCTGCTTTGTAGGCCTTCGGTGGGGCCCCTTATGAGCGCCACGAAACGTGTGAAGGGTGTGCAAGGATGGGGGGGAGGGAGGAGCAGAGACAGGAGGAGGAGGAGGAGGAGGAGGAGGAGGAGGAGAGGTGAGTCATGCGGGGCGCTGTCTCTTCGAAATGAGGACCCAACACCGCAGGATGGCTGGGAATGAATTATGCAGCCTCTCGACTGCCGACACAAGCTCAATTGGTATCAGCACTTGCGTCTGTCCTGCATGAGCATCGCAGCAGAGAAGTCTGTGGGATGGTGTGATTGGCGCAGCTCCGCAACGGGCACAGAGATGGCTGTGGTCTGGGAACGCTCTCGCAGCCCTTGCCTGGCACCAGCGACTTCCCGCAAGCAGTCCCTTCAGCGAGCGCCGCTGGTGAGAAGACGAGGGCCGCTGGCCTCGACGCGTTGACGAATGTTTCTGGGATCGCGCTAGGGGCTCCACTCTGACGGGAACTCTTGGGTCTTGCAAGCCCTTGAGGCCCTCTCTGTCGACATGGCGCTTGCCTCCTGGCTTGATCAGCTCCGACAAGAACTTAGCCGAGTAGACTCTCAGATCCCGAGACCTTCTCTCGTCATCTCATGTATTACCGCATTCTCCCACTCCGAGCAGATTCCGTGCAATGAGACGAACGGGGCCGTGATGGCGTTCTGGCGTGCTCGTCCCGAGCAATGCGGCGGACCTCGACGATCAAATGATCTGCGATCTTCTCGGAGATCACGCACATGGACATCACCGTCACGCACGTGCTCAGGGCACCGGCCATGGCTATGACCAAGGAACATGATGTCCAGCCAATCTCAGCACACATGAGAGACCCTCGTAGGTTCGCTCCTAGTTCTGTAGCGGCCTCCCGCATTCAAGGAGGACATGCGCAGCTGCTGCGTTCTCCCCTATGGCACCCAAGCAGTGCTG